AAGAACTAACCCAAGGCAGTGAAGAGGAAAGGCACCAGCATTGCAGGCAGACAGAATTGTGGCAGACAACGGGTGCGAGAATTGGATCAGACTACATAGCCCCTAGAGAGAGAATCTAGGAACGATGGTAGTAGAGACCAAAAACAAGTTGTCCAGCCTAAAATGTCTCCAGGTCCCTGGCACTAGATTGAATTATAGCAGATGAGAGTAAACACATGGGGAAAGTCATAAAAAGCAATGGTCATACCTTTTGTAGGAAAAAAGAGGTGTCTCCAAACTCAGAGAAATCGCCAACTGCTCCCACACAACCACTCTCGTTTGTGTTTCTTACCAGAGTTAATCAGTAGCCAACCCAGAATCTGGGTCAGTGAACAAAAGGTACATGGACATAAGCCATAGAGTAGCTCTAAGGAAGTGCCCAGCCTACCTTGTGGTTAGGCGGTTATGTGCTGTGGAGTTGGTTCCAACTCATAGCGACCCTGTACAGGGTTTCCAAGGCTGTAAGTTTTTATGGGAGCAAAAGCCTCATCTTTTTCCTGCAGAACAGCTGGTAGTTTCGAACTGCTGACCTTAAGGTTCACAGCCTGATTCGTAACAATTGCGCTACCAGAGCTCCTTCAGCCTATCTCGAGCCTCCACAAATCTTTGGGTAGAGAAGATATACCAGGATTGGGTAGATTTTAGTATAGAATAATTTCAGAAGGAAGCTGGTCTATTTTATCAACATTCTGAGTATCCAGTTTCCATAAGATAGGCCACAAATTTCAAATAGGTTATAATAAAGAGATAAGAGAACAATTTTAATTAGTAAAAACTTATTTATGATTACTTTAAAATATTGTCTGTCTTTAACAATTCTCTCTATCTTGGTTGACTGGGATCAAATGGTTATGGTTGGTTATTTGCTGTGGAGTCAGTTCTGACTCATAGTGACCCTGTACAGGGTTTCCGAGGCCGTAAATCTTTATGGCAGCAGTAAGCCTCATCTGTCTCCCAAGGAACTCCTAGTAGTTTTGAACTGTTGACTGTTATATTAGCAGCCCTACTCATAACCACTACTCTACTAGTTACTGGTGGTGATATGCTGTGGAGTCGGTTCTGACTCATAGCGACCCTGTACAGGGGTTCTGAGGCTGTAAATCTTTCAGGGAGCAGAAAGCCTCATCTTTCTCCTGCGGAACAAAGTTCAGAGTTCTTTTGAATCATCCTCTGGAATGAGCATACAATAGAGCAATTTTGCTAAAGGATTTTTCAGGACACTCATCCATATAAATGTTATGTTTCATTAAACATGTTGAAGAGTAATGCAGTTCCCACAAAACTTCATGCTACTGTGGATCTGTGGGTTAATGCGCTAGACTGCAAAGTCTGTTTGATCCGCAAGGTCGGTGATTCAAGCTCAAGTTGCTATGGGTCAGAACCAACTTGACAGCACTTAACAATAACAAATGTGTGAAATGTAAAATTTATGCTCACAGCCATTGTTTTTGTGTGTGTGTGTGTTAGTTTTCATTCTAAATTGAGTGAAGGATTATAGACAAGATCATCAGCTTTACATTCAAACTCTATATTTTGGTTCACTGTAATCCCCTACATACAACATCTGTTAATCTCACTACCTGCTTGTGATTCATGTTTCCATTGTTTCTCAACTTTGTCCTTAGGAAAATGTTGCCCTTTTGATTGACCCTTTCATGGTGAACAGGCCCTACTAGTGTTGTCCCCACTATATGCCTGTCTACTGCTTGCATGAATTTGGGCCAAAAGGGTGAGTTCCTTTCCAGACCTGAAGGGTGATAGAGTGCTTTAGTCTCAGGTTCCTCCTGTCTCTTTCTGATTTGTAAACCTGATTTTTTTTTTTTTTAAATAATTTTGAATTTTGATCCACATATTCTCCTACTCTACCAGGACCCTCTAATGTGATCCCTTTTAGAGCAGTAGGTAGTGTAGCCAGGCTCTGTCTAGTTCTTCTGGTCTCAGAGTTGTGGAGACTGACATTCACATGCTCCCTCAGTCCATTGGACTAATTGATTGCAAGCGTCTTCAGTTCTCATCACTCTTCCTTCTTCTGCACGTGGAGAGACCAATAGTGGTGGTTGTGTGCTGCAGAGTCAGTTCTAACTCATAGAGACAGGGTTTCTGAGACTATAAATCTTTATGGGAGAAGAAAGCCTCATCTTTCTCCTGTGGAACTGATGGTAGTTTCGAACTGCTGACTGTGAGATTAGTAGCCCAACTCATAACCACTATACTACCAGAGTTCCTTAGCTGCACCTTATATGGATGCTTATGAGCTTTTAAGTTTTCAGATGCTACTCACCAAAGTAGGCTGTAGAACATTGTCTCTATGGTCTATGTTATGAAGATTCACCATACTATCCCCTGAGACTATGCCCATGAGGCCCCCAACCCCAACAACTCATTACCTTAAAGCTGTTTGATAATATCGAGCAATTTTTCATCATTTTGCACTCTGGTGTGTGCTAGGGTTGTATTCTTTTACCATACTTATTCAACCTGTATGCTGAGCAAATAACCCGAGAAGCTGGGTTCTATGAAGAAAAACGTGGCATCAGGATTGGAGGAAGACTCATTAACAACCTGCAATTTGCAGATGATACAACCTTGCTTGCTGCAAGTGAACAGGACTTAAAATACTGATGACGATCAAAGAGCACAGCCTTCAGTATGGATTGCATTGCATTGTCAAGAAAACAATCTTCACTACTGGATGAATAAACAACATTCTTGTCAATGGAGAAAAGATTGAAGTTGTCAAGGACTTCAAATGACTGCAAACATACATTGACAGAGAACTTCCAAAGGTTCAAGCTAGTTTCAGAAGAGGACATGGAACAAGAGATATAATTGCTGATGTCATATGGATCTTGGCTGAAAGCAGAGAATACCAGAAAGATGTTTACCTGTGCTTTACTGACTTTGCAAAGGCTTTTGATTGTGTGGATCATGACAAGCTATGGACAACATAGTGAAGTATGAGTATTCTGGAACACTTAATTGTGCTCATGATGAATCTGTACATGGACCAAGAGGCAGTTGTTCAAACAGAATAAGGAAACATTGAATGATTTAAAATTAAGAAAGGTGTGTGCCAGGGTTGTATTCTTTCACCATACTTATTCAATCTATATGTTGAGCAAATAATTCTAGAAGCTGGATTATATGTAGAAAAACATGGCATGAGGATTGGAGGAAGATTCATTAAAAACCTGTGATTTGCAGATGATACAACCTTGCTTGCTGAAAGCAAAGACTTAAAATACTGGTGAAGATCAAAGACAACAGGTTTGGTATGGGGTACATTTCAAAGTAAAGAAAACAAATGTCCTCACCACTGGACCAATAAACAGCATCCATATAGATGGAGAAAAGATTGAAGTTGTCAAAGACTTCATTTTGCTCAGATCAACCATCAACAATCATGGAAGCAGGAGTCAAGAAATCAAATGACGTATTGCATTCGGCAAATCTGCACAAGTCGTCTTTGAAGTGCTGAAGAGTGAAGATACCAGTTTGAGGACTAAGGTGCGTCTGACCCAAATAATGGTATTTTCAATAATACTTATACATGTTAAAGTTGGACCATGAGTAAGAAGACTGTAAAAGAATGGATACATTTGAATTATGTTGTTTGAGAAAAATATTTAAAATCCAATGGACTGCCAAAAGAACAAACAGATCTGTGTTGGAAGAAGTACATCCAGGTGCTCCTTGGAAGCAAGGAAGGCCAGACTTCGTCTCTCATACTTTGGACATATTGTCAGGAGAAACCAGTCCCTGTAGAAGAATATCACTCTTGGCAAAGTGGAGGGTCAGAGAAAAAGAGGACGACCCCCCAACAAGATGAATTGGCACAGTGGCAGCAGCAATGGGCTCAGGCCTAGCAACAATTGCCAGGTTGGCCCAGGCCTGGGCAGTGTTTTGGTATGTGGTACATAGGGTCGTTATGAATTGGTACCAACTTGATGGCACCTAACAACAACAGAAAGCATCTATTTTGTCTTCTACTGCTTGTGTGGTTTTTGTAATGTTTGATAGTGTATTTATGTCCTGCATTAGAGCTCATTGTTTGATGCTACAGGATAATTTGCTAGATTTCAACATCTGTTTGAACCACACTGTTGGCAGTTCAAACTCATCAGCCACTCCTCAGAACCCCTATACAGGGTCTCTATTAGTCAGATCCAATTTGACGTTCCTTAACAACAACAAATAAGAACTCCTAAATATGCCCTTATATTTTCAGTGATGATTTTATAGTTCTAGGCTTAATCCACGTTGTTTGTTTTTGTATATGGTATGAAATATGGGTCTTGTTTTATTCTTATGCGAATGGGTTTCCAGTTTTGACAGCACCTTTTGTTGAAGAGACTATCTCTTCCGCATTTAATGTGTTTGGCCCTTTGTCAAAGATTAACTGGCTATATGTGGATGGATTTACTTCTGAATTCCCAATTCTGTTCCATTGATTTATGTATCTTTCATTGTACCAATACCTGGCTGTTTAGACCACTTTCAACCACTGCTTTTTAAATCTTATGTTTTATTTGTTGTTTCAATAAATTTATGATATCTATTCTGGAGTCCTGGTGTGGTGCTGTGGGTTAATGTGCTATACTGCAAAGTGTGAACTGCAAGGTCGGTGGTTCAAGCATACCAGCTGCCACTTGGAAACCCTAAACAAGGTCTCTGTGGATTGGAACCAACTTGACAGCACTTAACAACAGCATTCTCTATAGGGCTCCCGGTGTGGCACTATGGCATGAGCACTGGACTGCAAACTACAAGGTTAGCAGTTTAAACCCACCAGCTGTAGTTGCTCCTTGAAAATCCTATACAGGGTCACTATGAGTTGGAACCAACTTCATGGCACTTAACAAACAAAATAAACAAAATACTGAATAGATGCTAAGTGCTCTTTTTATTTATTTCTCCTCATCTTTGCCAAGTTAATCCTGAAAGTGCATAGGTAAATGAGATCATTGTAACTTCCAAGGTCCCTGTGCTAAGCGTGGAGGGTCCTTCTCAAACACTCTTCCATTCAGGGCCATAACCAGAACAGGCAAAGAGATTCCACTTCGGGTCCTCAGACGACCATCTCTTGAAATCTGATCAAAGAAAGCAAAGGGTTAACTCCAATACCGTGCTTGGCTTCTCACCCAGCGTACACTTCAGGCAACAATACTCTGAGAGCAGTATGTTGTTGTGATTGTTAAGTGCCTTTGCTGAGTCGGTTCCCACTCATAGCAGCCCTGTATATGTCTAAATCACCAGCTTCATGGTTAGCAGTTCAGAACCTGTTTTACAGTGCCACACCTGGACCCCAAAAGCAGTACAAGATAGTACAGAATAGTGAAAAATAGATAGGATTTGATTCCAAAGACACAGGCTTCTGTTTCAGGTCTGCTAGTTGAGGGATGGTTATGTGTTTAGTTGTATTTCCCAAAAAGATCTGTTAAAATTCTAACCTTGGTACCTGGGATTGTGATGTTGTTTGAAAATAGTTAAAATGAGATCATTAGGGTAGATCTAATCTAGTTTGACTGGTGTCATTTTAGAGAAAGTATAGACAGAGAGACACAGGAAAAAATGCCATGTGATTGATGATCAAGAAAGAAATTGGAGTATGGCATCTACAAGCCAAAGAATGCCCAGGATTTCTCCCAGCACCAGAAGTTAAGAGAGAAGCATGGGAGACTGCCCTGCAGTCTTTCTTCAGTGAAAACATTCCTAACCAACACCATGATTTCAGACTTCTAGTCTTCCAAGGATAAAGTTCTCTTGTTCTAAGCCTTCTCATTTGTGGTCATTTGTTACAGCAGCCATTGAGAACTAATACAAGGACTTTGGGTGAAAATGCAGCAAATAATTCTATTACATAAACTGGTCAAAATCAAATACAATAAGGTTTTTTAAGTGTTCTTTTAAAACACTATAACAAAACCTGTTGTCAATAAGTCAATGCCAACCCATAGTGACCCTATACCAAACCCACTGCCATTGAGTCCATTATGACTCCTGGAACTACTATATAGTTTCTGAGACTGCAAATCATTATGGGAGAAAACAGCCTCATTTTTCTCCTACAGAGCAGTTGGTGAGTGTTGAACCGCTGATCTTGTGGTTAGCACCCCAATGTCTACTTCAAAGATTTTCATTTACCTGTCTGCCCCATCTGCTCAAAGAAATTTATCACCCTGAAAACTCCTACCTCATAATATTTCTCAGGGGCAAGTTGGCTCCCACTCAGAACAATCTGTGGGAAAATATAACTTGTTCCAAATGTGCCACTGAGGGAAAAGTCTTCAAACTTGGTAAATGGTGACCCCACAGGCTCCCCACATGTTTTCAAGTCAGTGGTTTGACATTTCAGTAATGTGCATATCTATGCAGGAAAAGACAAAACAAAGGTGGTCAGAAATATTGGAACTATAGTAAGATATAACTTTTCTCTGGTAAATAATACTATTTCTAAGAACCGAGTAATATTTGTTAAGTTTCCTCTCAGGTAGAGATTTTCAAACCTATAAGTGAACCCTGAAATCAATTTAGTTGGTCAGCATTGGCACTTTTTATATGAAACCAGGTAGAATACACTAGGATTTTAAAGTTAGAGTGTACTGTACATAATTATTTCTAATTCTTTAGCTGAATCTATTACAATTTTGAAAGAAATGCGATGATGGCCCCCCAAAAGAAGGCCGAATAAACTATTAATAAAATTATTCTATTGCTGTTAGTTGTTGTCAGTAGAATAGAATTGAATTCTCCATAAGGTGTTCAAAACTGTACCTTTCAGTAGTCGATTGCCAGACCTTACTTCTGAGGTACCTTTGAGTATACTTGAGCTGCCAACTTTTTAGTTAGTGGTCCAGGCTTCAGGAGCCTCAGTGCCACATTAATGAGTTAAGAGCCTGGATGCTGACCGAAAAGTAGGCTCTGCAACACAACGATGTGACACTGTGCTTCTACAAAGATTGTTGTTGTGTGCCATCGAGTCAGTTCTGATGCATAGTGACCCTGTATAGAGTTTCCAAGGAGCAGCTGGTGAGCTTGAACCACCGATCCTGCAGTTCAAATGACTTTGCAGTCCACAGCACTGCACCAGAACTCTCTATAGAGATAACTACCACGGAAACCCTCTGGGGGCATTTCTACTCTGTCCTATAGGGTCTCTGTGAGTGGAAAGCCACTGGAGTTTTTTTTAGTATAAGGTTTACCCATTTGTACCACCCAGGGACTCCAAAATTGCCCTAAGACTTAGCTATTTAACCATGAGCTCTGGCAGAGTAGTTGTTACAAATCGGGCTGCAAACCGCAAGGTCAGCAGTTCAAAACTACCAGCTGCTCCGCGGGAGAAAGATGAGGCTTTCTGCTTCTGTAAAGATGTATAGCCTCAGAAACCCTGTTCAGGGTTTCTATGAGTCGGAACCGACTCGATGGCACATAACAACAACAACCTGTATGTGAAATGCAGGGTAGGCGGTTAAAGTTTACCAGCTTTACAGGGTCACTATGGGTCGGAATCAACTCAGCAGTGCTTAACAACAACAAACCTGTACGTAATATTGGCCTTCTACTGTATGCAGTCCGTCGAAAGCACCCAGAACATACACCTCATCTGATCTCTTCTCAGACATCTTGTACGTTAAATGACAACACAGGTCTTTCTGACACACTGTGTAGTTTCCTGTGCTTTCCTTAAGCTCGGTGAAGGTAAACTCATCAAAATAAATAATTCCTGGAAAATTGGACTGCTCAGATGAGAACGGCTTGACGCTTTTGGCATAAGCACTCCAGTCAACAGCTGCTGGATATGTGGGGTCACGGCGAGGGTGGGATTTTAATTCTGATAGCAGCAGCTGGCCACTCGTGGTTTCCATGTCATAGTGGTATACTTTGACAGCCTCTGGTGAATAGATTCCACTCCCTGCAGCCAACAGAAAGAAGCAAATGTTGGTTTTGAAAATTTTCATGGCCCCAAGCCAATAGCATCGGGCCCATGAGAAGTTAAATAGGAAGTTATTAAGTGTAACCACTTTTAGAGAGTTAAGGAAGTAGCTATTACAGTGGTGTCAGATTCCATTTGACTCTGCATCTTTCAGAAACATTCATGCTGAACTTGGATGGCTTATAGCCTACATGTTTAAGCCCCCAGCTGATAACTGAAAGATCTGTGGTTGGAACCCACCAGTCACTCCCCAGGAGAAAACAGTGGTAGTTTCTTTCTATAAAGATTACAGCCTTAGAAACCCTATTATTATGGTTAAGTGCCGTCGAGTCGGTTCCAATCTATAGCAACCCTGTATAGGGTTTCTGAGGAGCAGCTGGTGAGCTTGAACCACCAACCTTGCAGTTCAAACTACTTTGCAGTCCAGCACAGAAACCCACAGCATCACACCAGGACTCTTAAAAACCCTATAGAGCAGTTCTATTCTGTCCTATAGGGTCATTATAAGTCAGAATTGACTTGGTTGCAAACAATAACATTTACAACTAAAGCTACCCTTTAGTTTTGCCTACTTAGCAACAAACTGAAAACTCCCCACAGAGCTCTCCATTGACCTATTTACTTGTGTTTGTGTTTCATCATTGGGATAAATGAACAGCAAAGTAATCAAGAGGGGAGAACTTAGTCTGCATTGTCTTCAATAGGTTGTTGTTGTTAAGTGACTTTGAGTCGGTTACAACCCATAGCGACCCTGTATAGTGTTTCCATGGAGTGGCTTGTGAGCTTGAATTGTCAACATTGTGGTTCAAACTGAATTCACAGTCCAGCACATTAGCCCACAGTGCCACAAAAAATTAATTAAGTCTAAAATGCGTTCATCTCTTAAGCAGTAAAAACCATTCTGCTATCATCAGTAAGGAGCCCTGGTGTGGTGCTGTGGTTAATTCACTGGACAGCAAGGTCAGTTTGAAACATAAGGTTGGTGGTTCAAGCTCACCAATTAATCTTCAGAAATCCAATACAGGGTTGATATGAGCCAAAGTCAACTTGAAGTCACTTAACAACAACCATTAATATGGAGTCCTGGTGTGGCACTATACGATGAGTACTGGACTGCTAACCAAAAGGTTGGTGGTCCAAACCCACCATTTCTCCTCCAAAACCCTATACAGGGTCACTGTGAGTCAAAACTGACTCAATGGCACACAACAATATTAATATGGTAGCTCTGTGACTCTGTAGGATCAGTAGTTCTAGCTCATCAGCTACTTCATGGGAGGAAGATGAGGCTTTCTGCTCCAGCAAAAATTTCCAGCCTCAGAAACCCTACACAGCGTTGCTGTCTTCAGCTATACCACCTTGAGCATGCCATATTTGTCGTATCTTGGAAGCTAAGTAGGGTCTGGCCTAGTTAGTACTTGGGTGGGAGACTGCCTGGGAAAACCAGTGCTGTAGGCTGAGCCCTACCTAGTGTGACACTGTAGGATAAGCATTGGCTGTTCAAACCCAACAACCACTCCAGGAAACCATATACAGGGTCGCTCTGAGTTGGAACTGACTCAACAGGACACAACAGCATCAGTGTGTCGGAACCAACTCGACAGCACTTAATAACAACAACAATCAGTAATGAGACAGATGTTGGCTGGGGAACTCCTTACAACTGGTTTTGTTTTTTTATATGACTTAAATTCTCTATAACTCCAATTTCCCCTCATATAAAACTGAGATCAGTTGTGCCTCCTATTTGTGAGTGAAGATTCACAGAGATAACATTGCTTCAACAATATCGATATAATCTGTACTATTATTCATTGTGGTATATTAGAGTTAATAAAAGAACCATTAAGGAAATGTATGGCTTGAAAATCCATTAAATTCAGATGACCATTTTCACTTGGGGTATTTCAGGCGAGAGCTACCTGTCATGTGCATCCTAGTATGGTGGATATTTGCAGCAAGGAGATTAACTCTCATGCCCCTGGCCCATGATGAGTGGAAGGGAACAGCCGAGAAGAGGGGCAACGTGTTGAGCCAGGCAGTGGGGTAGAGAATGCTGTCAACCTGGAAGTCTTCCACCACAACCACAGCTGGGTCGTGAGAAAAAATGTCAAAGCAAGTGAAAATGCCAAACTTTCCAAAAGGAGTCTTGAAAGTCACAAATTCTGAATCCTTAGGGTAGTCGAACTGAGTTTCAGGTGGAAAAAGATTGTACTATTAACAAAAAGGAAAAAAAAAAAAAGAAAGAAAATTAGTAAGAAAACTGAGAAGTCAATGCCATCAACGTCCATAAGCCACCCCCACCCTGAATGTTGATGTGCATGTTTAAAACAGTTCCCCGTAAGTTTGCATAAATATTGTCTGATCCTCCACTTGGAGTTTTTTGAGTTTTCTTGCTGGGATCTTAACCAAAAAGCTTTATTTTTTCCAAAATCCATTAAGAAAAATATATCTGTAAATGATACTTAAAATGTACCTATTTCTGTTTTGAAATCACAGGTTGTTCCAAGGCTGTAAATCTTGACGGGATCAGAAAGCCTCATCTTTCTCCTGCAGGACGGTTTGTAGTTATGAACTGCTGACCTTGAGGTTAACAGCCCGACCAGTAACCTCTTGTAGCAAGTGTTAATAGTTAACTTTTTTCTATCTCCCTACAATAATACTACTTGTTGATAAGTGCTGTTGAGTCAGTTCTGACTCATAGCAACCCTGTGTCTAACAGAATAAAACACTGCCT